GAAGCATTGTGTGCTACACATGCATGTTTGGACACTTATAAGATAAAATGGGAAGGAATGTTTTGTGTTAGCACACTTGTTACAGGTATTAATCTCTACAACCATGGGGTCAACAAAGCAGCATTTCAGTTCAGTGAGGGACTGTCTCCAACAGACACGAACTGGTCATGGCCACGGACGAAAATGTATGGAGGATGCAGAAGGAAAGGGAAGCTTCTGACTTCATTGATATTTTGAGTCAGAGGAATCAAAACTTTGCAGACTTTCTGTGTGATGGAGTCAGGCCCACCCAGACCATCTCTTTTTGGGCTAGAGTTTAGGGAGATATCAGTAAATTCACTTTGCAAGTTCCCGTCACAGTACCACCTGGATTTGTGTTTCATGATGTGGCTCCTGAGATGTCTGCAGCTCACAACGTACAGGAGTCTCCTGTGCTTCCCCGTAGGGAGCAACCCTTGAAGCATGTCCTCGTGAGAAGCAAACTAGGCAGGAAATTGTAAGGTTCAGCAGAGCCATGGTGTCATTCTAAGCACTACCTTATGTGGAACGTGCCACTTTGACCAAATGAGGTTTCTTCCCTTTTGGTTTTGTTTTTTATATTTATTTGTGGTATCACAGCATGGCATATATATGGGGGTCAGAGAACAACTTGAAGGAGTCAGTTCTCTCCCTTCTCATGGGTCCCTGGTATTGAATTTGGGTCACCAGCCTTTCTAGTTAGCTCCATATCACTGTTAGGTTCAATGTGGGGGCAAAATCACCATCTGGGTTCAGGGCATAGTGGACTCTGACTTGATAAACACATGGGTTGTTAGCAGATAAACCAAAGTCTAAAATCAACATTTCTTGGAAACATGTACAGAGAGTTTTTGTATGTCAGGAAGATCCATTATTTCTCTTATCTTCACACATAAGACCAGATATCAAGTCTAGTGCTTGAAGCCATGTCTACTGTATAACTGGACACCCTGGTTTGTCAATATAACAGCACCTCAGCTCTCTATTTTCTAAAGCTCTTGTTGAGGTATCCAGGAGGAAGAACATATAATGAAGCCTTCAGACACTCAAAGCAGATGAGCACCACCTTGGGATCCTCAAACAATACACACCCTTTGTGCAGATTAGAAAGTTAAGAGATGAAGTATATGCCAACTTGTGATTCTCAGGTCCCAGGAACGCTTTCCTACAATTTATTCTCAAATAGTTATATAAAAACATAGGCCTTACCTAGTTAAATGTTTGAGAATTAGTAAAGCATGACAGCAGCCGATCAAAATGGATGCATATAAAATTGGGTGTCAATATGTTCATACAAGATGAGGTGAATTACAGAGCTGACCGTCAGTCACAAGTGAATGAAGTAATCAATGAAACAGAAGTATGCAGTAGCATGGCACAAACATTTGATGGCCTCCTTAAATATAAAATGTATTTCTGGGACCAAGACTTGCTTTTCTGTGTAAAAATCCCACAGCACATATATCACAGGGACCCAAGTCACAGAGACATAAAACATGGTTTGGATATCACAGACGCTTTCAGAGTGGTGGTGTTAGTGTGTGCTTGGCTTCTCATAATGTGAGTCATTTGCAAATTCACTGGTGACACAAGAAAGTGTGGGCTCCATTTGCATTTCATAATAGGGCACAGGCTGATTCAGAGAGCATAGCTTTAGTCATAGTATCTCCATTTGCTCCTGTGTCTTCTTGGGTGTTTTTAAAAGTTATTAGTAGAATAGTAACTAGAGGCTCCAGATAAGCTGTCTGTATCTCCTTGACCCCCCAAAAAGGCCAAAGTCTAAAGCTCTGGCATTATTTCTTTGTTTGCTTCAAAGTGTCCTTTGCCCATGACAGATTCACCCTGTCACAGTCAGCCCATGTCCTGTTCTACATTTCTCCATTTTGTATAAAACATTTTTCAGGAGTTTTGGTTAGGTTTTCTTGCCCTGAGAGACTCCATTTTATCAGCAGGTTTGATGTCATCTTGAGGATGGAGGCCAAGAACTAACTCCATGTTGAGTTGCAGAGCTAATCTTGTTGGCCTCAGATTCATCACTATGTAAAACATGTTTAAAGTTTTTATTATATTTATTTTTTAGTGTGTGTGTGTACTGAAGCACAGGTATGTGTGTGTGTAAAACACGGAAGACAACTGTGGGAACCTTTCCTCTGATTCTACCAATAGTTTCCAAGGATCAAACTAAGGTTTTAAGCTATGGTAGCAAGCATGTTTAACTATAAAAATTGTATCAGAGAATATTCACCCAGTTATCAGCCACAAGGCTTTGGCCAGGGCACTAAGGGACCAACTAAGCCACATGTATTCAATCAAGGGTTTTCAAAGAGGACTCATGCCTGTATGTCAGCACAGGGTAGTCTGAGGAAGGAGAAATGTTGTGATTTGGAGGATAGCCAGAGCTACATAATGCTTTCAACTTGGGCTACAGAGTTTCAGAAAAACAAACCAAACCAGAAAACAAAACCCAGAAATACACACAAAAGAGCCATGTGTGCTAACTGGCTGACAAAAGGCAAGCAGAGACTCTCAACTCAGACTGTGCTTCTGAAGGGTCCCAGCCATATTCAGCACCCCAGCATTTCCTACAGCTTTGCAGAACATGCTGCTGAGGCCAACTCATCACCAAAAGTCATGGAATCGAGGGAAGCATTTTCGGAAGCTCCAGAGTATGACTCCTGTCCAGCAATGCCATGGGCTCGACACTGTTTCAGCATGGAATTTAGCTTCTCTGTCTACATGGACTGCAGCTTTGGTAGGTTAAAGAGAATTGAATATTAAGCTAGATACTTTATTGCTGTATTTTATCATTTCATCTTCCCATAGTTATTTTCCTTTCCTTGTCTCACTTCCTTTTGGCCATTTTATTTTATTCATTCTTTGAGAATTTCATATATTTAGACAGTATGTAAATATATTTATACAGTGGTGTTTTGATATCTCCCATGTCGTGTTCCTCTCCCAACTGCATTTTCTCCTTTCCCTGTTCCTCCTCTTCATCTTGATTTTTCTCTTTCATAAGCCACTGGGTCTGGTCAAAGCTGTTTGTCTGCCTGTGGGTGTAGGGCCATCCCCTGAAGCATTTCTCCAATTTCTTACTTTTTGCTTGGTGGTAATAAAAGAGCCGTGCTTATATTTTTAACGTTTGCTGCTACCATGTGATAATCCTTCATTACTGTAGTGGGGGAAAAAGGATTCAGCTACATCTGACCAGAACAGTAACAACCAGGAAGCACACACTAAACTCCAAACAAGGACGCAAAGAATCTGAGCCAGGCACCTAGCATAGCTCAACTGTGTCTCACAATAGCATTTATTCTTTAAAATCCCATCCATCTACACGTACCCTAATTTGAGTAGTCTCCTATATCTGATTGCATCTCCAAGTGAGATGCATAAAAACTCTGGAAACACATTGTTGATCTTGTTTCCTTACCAAAGTGAATTCAAGAAAAAAATTGCACACGAAGCTGCGCCTCACTAACCTCCAGAAATGTTTCTATTGTTAAAATCTCCCAGGAAACTTTCATTTTGTTCTAGAACTTACTGCATTGGCCCAAGCAATTTTGACTTTCCCTAAAAATTAAATAAAAAATGTTTTAAGAAGTAGAAGTTTATTTGAGACAGATCTGCTGTATCCTTCCCGCCTTGTCTCTCCCTCCATTTGTTCTCATCCTTTCCCAGATCTGCTGACACCACCAATGCTTTTTGTTGTCCTTGTTTTGAGACAGATTTCTCTGCATCCCTGGCTGTCCTGGAATTCAGTTCCTTTGTATATATTATGGATTCCACATGAACAGGTGGGCCTCTGTGTCTATGTGTGTTTCTTGAGTTTCTCCTTGGCTCACTTCTGTTGTTGGTTTTTGTTTTATCACCATATCATGTTATGTTGTATATTATAAATATCCCTTAGAAGGCTGTTTGCTTTCTTTTCATTCTTTCTTTTTTCCTGTTTTGGTTTCTTGAGACAGGAACTCTCTGTGTAGCCCTGTCAGTCCTAGAACTATTGCTGTAGACCAGGCTGCCCTCAAACTCACAGAGATCCACCTCCCTCTACTTCTCTCTCTGCTGGGACATGAGGTGGATCTAGATGGAAGAGGAGGTGTGAGGGGAACCTGAGAGGAGTAGAGACTGGGCAAACTTTACTCAGTACATTATCATGTGAGGCAAAAAATTTTCTAATTTCAATAAAAGGGAAAAAATAAAGAAAGACATAAAAGAAAATGCTGGTCAAGTATTCTGCCATCAGGGTATAATCCTTGCCTTTTATTTTTCAGTCTGCTTATGAAGCCCAAGCTCACCTGGAACTTGCTAGGTTGCCTAAGTTGCTCTTGAATGTACAATCGTCCTGCCTCATCCTTCAGAAATGCTCTGAATGCAGGCTTGAATTCCCACTTTCTTCTTGCTTTATAGTGGTTTCACTGACTTTTGTTATGGAGGAAAGGCTGCCACGAGTTACCCTTCATGTTCTGAGGGCCTGTATTTATTATGTCGTTTGTACAATGTTCCCATTTTTCACAGTGCATATTATCTGTTTGGATGTCATGTCTGTTCATTGCAAATGTGGGGTATGGTGGAAGGCACTAAATGAGCATGGAATAAATTTGGATTACATGAAGAAAGAACCAAAGACAGAGGGAGACTGTCTAGAAGTATTGAATTTATTCGTCATGATTGTTTGCATTATAATTGCAGAGAAAAATCACCATCTTGAAGGGGCTTGGGGATTCCAGCAATGGCTTGTCCACAGATAGGAGTTTCACAAATTATGTTTCTCTGTGCATGTGGAGAGAAGAAACAACATATCAGATGAATATAATTCTAACAGGGTATGGACAGTAGGGTTTTCTGCAGGAAAGCAAACTGGCCACGGTGGAGCATGGGGTTCATGGGATTTTTCTACCACAAGCTACAATATACTTTGGTTAGTGTGCCAATCCCAAGGTGTTCATTTCTGTGTTTTCACACAGCAAATGGCTCTGAGCTCATCTAACAAAAGTTTTGGGTAGTTTTGGAGTGAAGGAAGCCAGAGGTAGGCTTGTGGCAAGGAATGCTAGGTGCTCACCTGAGCTGCAGGGGGCGCTGTATTCGGCAAAGACCACTTCATCTGAAAGACATGGAGAACATTGAGAATGGGAGCTTTGATGCAAGAGGATGTTTTGGAGTGCAGTTGATGTCTTAGGATTGACCAATTCCCTCAGTCAGGACCTAGGTGATTGCTGGAAAGTCGTCTCTCTGGGGACATCAGACAAACCAAGCAGAGGAATCTCTCCCCTTGAAGCCACCGGTTGACACCATTATCCAGGGCAGGCAAGATGGCTCAGTGGGGAAAGGTGCTAGTGGCCATGCCTGACTCACTAGAGAGTTTAGTCCTCAGGATTCACATGGCAGAAGGCAAGAGCCCATTCCCACAAATTGTCCTCTGTCTGCCACTGGCACCATGGTATGTTTCCCTCTGACTAAATAAATACACAAATGTGCATCAACACCAGAATAATTTACCCTATTGAGAAACTCCGAGTGTGCTTAACCTATATTGTTTGAACGGAGTACTAGGAGTGGTCCCTGTAGATATGTACCCCCTCACGTGACTTTTTATAGTTCTGTATTTCACCTACAGACACTTATTTGTTTGGTTCCCTTGCATTATTTGGACATGTTTGGTCCCACATGACTGTTTGGACAAACAGGTAGCTGTGGCCGAATGAACTGAAATCTTATGTTTGTTATATGCATGTCCTTTCATTAAGAGCTGACTTGGCCAATCTGGCCTATGTAGTGTGTCACTGTCTCAAAAATAATTGTTTTTAAAACTGGGTGTGATGCCTGTCATAGCATTTGTAGAATGAGCCTGGAGATTGAGATTTTGAGGCCAGCCTGGGCTTCATTGTGAGAAGCTGTATTTTTTTTTTTTTTAAAAGACAAAGAAAGAAAAAATCAAGTCGCTTTTGGGTTTTTCCTAATCTCTTGCTCACCTGTCTCATAGTAGTCATAGACTTTCACAATGGCAGGCTGCAGGTTCCTTACTGGGATGTCTTGTTGAATGACGAAGGAGAAGGTCAGTGTCTGATTGGTCACCTGTAAACAGAGAAAAATAAGTTCAGAATCACAGAGGTGGCCACTGTTTTCCTTCAGCATCAGCCAGTCCTTGTCATTTGAGAGAGAGTTATGCATTGGATAGCATTTACCCTCCCAGTCACTGTGCTTGTAATTGCTCACATATGTGGATGAGGATATGGATTTTAGAGTAGGGGCCTGATGAACTGAAGTAGAGGCTCCTGGAAGTGTACAAAACTTTTCTAGTCCTTTGAAATATCCTAAAATCCCATATTTCTCCTTAATGTGTGATATTTGCCCATTGTGTGTGAGTTAAGTCCTTTGACTTCCTGACTTTTGATCCCCATTGTAAGTCCCAGGATATCCAGCAACAAGAAAAGGGAAATTAAGATTATTATCATGATTATTATTTATCTTTGTGTGTGTGTGTGTGTGTGTGTGTGTGTGTGTGTGTGTGTGTGTGTGTGTGTGTGTGTGTTTCTATTCTTGAGGGGGCCAAATAAGGGCATTGGATTCCTCTGGAACTGGAGTTACATGGAATTGTGAGGTGTTGTGGGTTCGGGGAACTGAAATCTGGTCTTCTGCAAGAGCAGTAAGTGCTCTTAACTGCTGAGCCATGTCTCTAGGCCAGTGAAAGAGAATTTAAACATCCTCTAGTATGAACAGAGGGAAGGTGCCTCTCCAAAAACCTTCCTGTAGAATTGCTTTTCTCCTGTCTTATAAAGACTCACCTAGACATGTTTGGGGAGGCAGGAAGGACCCTCTCATGACCCTCATAGATCAAGGTCTGTTCATCTAGATATGTTTGGGGAGGCAGGAAGGGGCCTTACCTGATCCACATATAACAAGACCTTGTTGGTGCTCATTTCCGTTTTGCTAACATGTTCTGATCTTTCAAGCTGAAGAGGAGATAAAATCACCAAGTTACTGAAAAAGTGAAGGCCTTGGGACTGAAAAAGGCAAATGAACTGTGCAATTGAAGATGAAAGAGGAGATGTCACCAACTCATTTAAATGAACTGGAAGAAACTTTCCTGATATGAAAGCAAATATATTCAGAAAATTGTGAATGCCACTCTACAAGTGTCCTGACTTAGTAATCTGCAGTTTTGACTTTTGTATGAAGGTGAAGTAGTTCTGCATTTGATAGAACTTACTTACTCATGCAAGTGTCTTTCTCTGTACTCTGAACTTTCTTATATTTCTTCTGCTGCTGCTTCACAGTCACACCTATGCTTAGCATTATATAAATCCCATTTTTGTTAGATTAGTACCACCTTTGCTTTGATGCAGGGTGGCATCATCATGATGGTGCTCCATGTTCCTAGTCTGAGGATACAGACAATCCAAACATCTGGTCTACCTACCTTTTTCACTGTTGGTTTCAAGGGGATGAAACCAGACACCATCTTCACATCAACAATCACCATGTTGGATGCTGGGCGGCTCCCTGTGTAACTGCAGAGCAGAGAAGTGGATGAAGAAGTAATTTTAATATTTTGAATCTTGCCTCCTTTGAGGTGCAGCAGTAATTCCTGATAGGACCTGTGTGATTTTTCCCATACTTTAAAATATATGGCCATTATTCCCAAAGTATATAGTTTTGAAAATAGACTGTATAACAGTATCACCTGCAGAGTTCATAGAAATTAGATGAATCCATGGGGCATGTTGGTCAGCCCGCATAGTCTTCTTAGCAAGCTCCTGGGCAGTAAGAGACCTTATCTCAAAACCCCAGTTTGTATAGAAATTGAGGACTAATGGTTAAGTTTGTCCCCTATAGGCCCCCTGCCCCTTCTCTTACACACACACTCCCTACCCCTTCCTCTCTCTCTCTCCCACACACACACACCCACACCCACACACACACACACACACACACACACACACCATAGTTCTGGAATATTAGTTGGATGAATCAAAAATGTATTGCTGAATGGCCAATAGCTAGATAGTAGAGAGGGATAGGCGGGGCTGCTAGACAGAGAGAATAAACTGGAGGAGAAATCTAGGCTTGAGAAGAAGCATGAGGAGCAAGAAAAGGAGAGGAGAACACCAAGGATCAGCCACCAGCCAGCCATGGAGTAAGAAGGAAAGCAAGATCTATAGAACAAAGAAAAATTTAAAAAAGGGCAAAACATATTTGCAGAGAAATGGGATGATTTAAGTTAAGTTAGAAGAGTTGGCTAGAAGCTGGGCCTTGAAGGCGCACGCCTTTAATCACAGCACCTGGGAGGCAGAGGCAGGCATATCTCTGTGAGTTCGAGGCCAGCCTGGTCTCCAGAGCAAGTGCCAGGATAGGCTCCAAAGCTACACAGGGAAACCCTGGCTGGAAAAAAAAAGAAAGAAAGAAAGAACGAAAGAAAGAAAGAAAGAGAAAAAAAGAAAGAAAGAAAGAAAGAAAGAAAGAAAGAAAGAAAGAAAGAAAAGAAAAGAAATCTTGTCTTGAAAGGAGCCAGGCATAGGGCAGGCATTCATAAAGTAAGAATAATCTCAATGTATTTCTTTGGGAGCTGGGTGTCAGGCCCCAAAAGAGTAAACATATCAACTGTCCCCCACCACTCTGTGGTGAAACAAGATAATAGGTCACACTGTGGAATACTTCTTTCCATCCAAGAGCCCTTCAGATTTTCCAGTTAGAGCCCGTTTCTGATTATATTGTATATGAAGCTTTGGACAAGTGTCAGAACAACAGAATATCTTTTTTCCCCTCTAGAAAAATTGAATCTTAAAAGACAAGGATGACTTGCCTTTGTTGGTGAAGAACAATAGCCCACATTAGGGTATAATGGAAAAGAATAGTCTATTATTTTGCGATGATAGTGGGTGATGAAAGACACACAAAATAGACTAATTGAGATTATAATTCTGCAATTCGTCATTGTTCACTTTGCTGAAGTGGGTTTTTGTTTCTTTTTATACACTAAGCAAAATCTTTTTTTTTTTTTTTTGAGACAGAGTTTCTCTGTGTAGCCTTGGCTATCCTGGAACTTGCTCTGTAGACCATGCTGGTCTCAAACTGAGAGAGATCCTTCTGCCTCTGCCTCCAGAGGGTTGGGATTAAAGGCATGCACCACCAGTGCCAGGCAGACAAAGCAAAATCTTAATGACAAGACTTGCTTTAGATATCTCTGAACCCATTCCATGAAGAGTTCTAGGAAAACAACACTATAATAGCCGAGAGAAAGAGAGAGAGGTCCATACCTTATTTCTAGTGATATCTGGAAGCTGTTGTGGCCTTCAGGGTTACCACATGTCAGAGGCAAGGTCTGCACCCTCAGTGTGAATGCAGACTCCTGTTTCTCCAATTGCACGTTGTACCTCAGTGTTGTCTGATAAGTAGTGAATAGAAACACTTCACCTCCATTGCACTGGGTCCTTGGATTGATGTCTCCCAATTTGAGCATAATGTGGGCAGGTAGGCAAAGGGAGACTTTCCATTTGAGGGAAGGAGACCCACAGCTGTATACCCACAACTTCCCTAGAATCTTACCTGAGCATACACACATCCTTCCCCTGACACATTGATGTCATAGTCCCCAGGGATGTCTGGTAGTAAGACCTGCTGCAGTAACAGTCGATTGCTGCTCTCTATTTGGAATATTCTGGAAAATGTCCCTGAAGATTGGATGGTGACTGAAGGAGTTTTCTGACTTCCAGCAAAAGTAACTGCCCCATACTTGGACAAAGCATGGAGAGCCACCACAGTGTCCTGTGAGGGATGAGTGTAAAAGCTCAGGATAGTATCAGTGTGGAAGGACTTGGGCTCTTCCTGAAGCTGGGACAAAAGTGTCATGAGTGTTTGTCTCTACTTATGTGATCTCTATTTTTTAATTTAGGAAATATGGAGAATCAAGAGCATTCACCTGATTTCCTTCCCTACTCAGATTGCCCTAGCAAATTCAGATTCCCTTTTAGCCAGTACGAAGTATAAATATAAATTAGTCACAATTCAGTCTTATCACATAGATGGGAAAACTATGATCTACTGTTGTCCTTCGTTGCCTTGCTGCTTGGTGGCATACTCTATGGGGAGGAACCTCATGCTCTAGAGAGCCTCAATCCCACAGGATCCCTCCTTATCCCAAGACAACTCCAGATCCTATCCTGACTGCAGAGCCCGACAAGAGAACAGAATCATGCAGTGAGGGTTTTTCTATTACAATGCAGGCGGCCTATTGAAATGAAAGTGTAGGAATCACATTGCAAAGCAGGATGACTTGTGTCACTGGGGGGGGGGGGTTCCTCTTTGTACATTTTATTTCTCCTTTAGAGAAAACCACTGTCTTAAAACACTTCTCTGGAGACAAATTCTGCTACCTATGCCCAGGATTCGTAGAGCATAATTTATAGATATTATGGTAGATGTGTATTTTTTTTTGGAAAATATTACATCATGAGAATTATACTGACTAAATGATAAAGCAAATGGTTTTCAGTCTTGATTGTTTCCAACTATCGAGAGGTTAAGGCAGGCAGCAGGAACTCCTACTAACTTGGGGAAAACCTGAGGGCAATCTCTCTATACATAAGATTAGGGGAGTCTGTCAGGAGAAGGAAAATGACCACACCTAAAGGCAGCAGGATGATAAAGATGTCAGTTTGGTCCAAGTAGCATCTTTAGGTACTCCACATGCTATTCTAGGGTGAGGTTTTGTCTAGTATTCTGGACTCTCCAGGGTTTTTGCCACTGTTTTCTATCAGGGTTT